TTCTGTTGCTTCATTGTCAGTGTATAAGAATGCAACTGATTTCTGTGCATTGCTTTTATATCCTGCCACTGCTGAATTCATGGATCAGTTCTAGCAGTTTTTGGTGGAAGCTTTTGAGCTTTCCATATAGAGTATCATGTCATTTGCGAAGAGTGAAAGTTTGACCTCCTCATGTCTGATCTGGATGCCTTTTATTTCTTTGTGTTGTCTGATTGCTGAGGCTAAGGCTTCCAATACTATGTTGAATAAGAGTTGTGAGAATGGACATCCCTGTCTTGTTCCTGACGTTAGGGGGAAAGATCTCAGTTTTTCCCTATTGAGGATTATATTACAGGTGGATCTTTCATATATGGCTTTTATGATCTTGAGGTACGATCCTTCTTTTCCTACTTTCTTGAGGATTTTTATCAAGAAAGGATGCTGTATTTTGTCAAATGATTTGTCTGCATCTATTGAGAGGATCATGTGGTTCTTGTCCTTTCTTTTATTGATGTGATGTATCACATTGATTGTTTTGCAGATATTGAACCAGACTTGCATCCCAGATATAAGTCCCACTTGGTCCTGGGGAATAATTTTTTTTAATGTATTGTTGGATCCGGTTGGCTAATATCTTGTTGAAGATTTTTGCATCCATGTTCATCAGGAAAATTGGTCTGTAGTTCTCCTTTTTAGTGGAGTCTTTGTCTGGTTTTGGAATCAAGGTAATGCTGGTTTCATAGAGTTTGGAAGTTTTCCTTCTATTTCTATTGTTTGGAACAGCTTCAAGAGAATAGGTGTTAACTCTTCCTCAAATGTTTGGTAGAATTCCCCTGGAAAGCCACTGGCCCTGGACTCTCGTTTTTTGGGAGATTTTTGATTACTAATTCGATTTCTTTACTGGTTATGGGCCTGTTCAAATTTTCTATTTCTTTTTGTTTGTTTTGGTAGTTTATATGTCTCTAGGAATTTGTCCATTTCTTCCAGATTGCCCATTTTTTTGGCAGATAAGTGCTCATAATATTCTCTTGTTATTTTTATTTCTGCTGTGTTGGTTGTGATCTCTTCTCTTTCATTCTTGATTTTATTTATTTTGGGCCCTTTCCTTTTTCATCAAACTGGCTAGTGGTTTATCAATTTTGTTAATTCTTTCAAAGAACCAGCTTCTGGGGCGCCTGCGTGGCTCAGTTGGTTAAGTGACTTCAGCTCAGGTCATGATCTCACGGTTCGTGGGTTCGAGCCCCGCGTCGGGCTCTGTGCTGACAGCTAGCTCAGAGCCTGGAGACTATTTCAGATTCTGTGTCTCCCTCTCTCTCTCTGCCCCTCCCCTGCTCTTGCTGGTGACTTAGCATAATAGATGGTTCTCTATCCCCTTTGTTTCAATCTGAAGGTGTCTTTAGGTCTAAAAGGGGTATCTTGTAAACAGCATATAAATGGATCTTGTTTTCTTATCCATTCTGTTACCTTATGTCTTTTGATTGGAGCATTTATTTAGTCCATTGATGTTTAGAGTGAACACTGAAAGATACGAATTTATTGCTACTATGCTTCCTGTAGAGTTGGAGTTTCTGGTGGTGTTCTCTGGTCCTTTCTAGTCTTTGTTGCCTTTTTTGGGGGGTCCTTTCTCCCCTGAGAGAGTCCCCCTTAAAATTTCTTGCATGGCCAGTTTAGTGGTCACAAACTCCTTTAATTTTTGTTTGTCTGGGAAACTTTTAATCTCTCCTATTTTGGATGACAGCCTTGCTGGATACAGAATTCTTGGCTGCATATTTTTCCAATTCAGCACATTGAATATATACCCTGCCACTCCTTTCAGTTTGCAGCAGACCTATCCACAGAAACTTGGCAGAAGAGAGAGGAGAGAGAAGAGGGGAGAGGGGAGAGGAGAGAAGAGAGGAGAGGAAAGAGAAGAGAGAGAGAGAAAGTAGTGTGATTAGGGTAAATACACTGCTGGCAACTTGCTGGGGAGGACAGGTACAAGTTTAGAATTACATCTTAGAAGGTTCTCTTCTTATACCTTCTTCTTATAACATTAATTATAATCTTTCATTTGCAAAATGTGTAAGTCACAGAAGCTGCTGGTTGTACAGGGTTGCCCCAGCTAATTGTATGTATCATGCCAGGGGACTGTTTATAGGGATGAATTGTATCCCCTGAAAAGATGGTGGGGCTTGGGCCCTTATGTCCAGTTCCTGTGAATGTGACCTTATTTGGAAATAGTGTTTTTTCACATAACTAAAATGAAGTCATTAGGGTGGGCCTAATCCAATATGACTTTGTCCTTATAAAAAGAGGAAATTTGAACATAGAGACAGACACACACAGGGAATAGGGTGTAAAAAAAAGGGTGTATAACTCAAGGAATGCCTGGTGCTACCAGCAGTGAGGAGAGAGACTTGGAGCAGATTCTCTACCAGTCTTCAGAAGGAAACAACCTTGCCAACTTGATCTCAGACTTCTAACCTCCAGAAGGCTGAGACTGTAAGTTTCTATTGTTTAAGCCATCCAGTTTATGTCAGTTTATTACAGCAGCCCCAGGTAATGAATCAGGAAACTTTACTAATTTTGGCAAGCATAGCCATATATCTATCCATGGACCATAGACTCCTTGAGGAAGCAACTTTTTCTGAAGGACAACTATTGGCAGCCTCAACTTTCTTCTAAGAAGCCTGGCCTACTCTTTGTTGGGAACTGCTGAAGGCATTTCTGCCACCAAATGGATTTAATGGATCTAACTGATCAAGATAGAACACCTGGTTTATTGTGTTATCAGTATCCTTGAAGAAGATTCTTAGATGCACATCAGTTCAGGTAAATTAACTGAATCCCTAACATTGTCTAATTTGGGCATTTTTATTTTTAATAAACAACCATAGACCTCAAAACAATTTCTACATTAGATTCTGTACACGAAAGCCAGAAAATGTAAGAGTATTATTTGAAATACCCTTTATGATTTTATCTAAAAATTGTATGCATTTTTCTTCTTTTTTGTGGCTGAAAGGGGGGTAGGGAAGGTTATCAGATGGCAAGGGACTTATGGTCAAGAGAAATGATACCAGTGATAAAACTATCAAAAGTTTTCCTTCAGTCCTATTGTCTCAGGTTATAATGTTTGGTTGAGAGAAGAAATAAAACTACCAAGGACAAGGAGCATATCTTCAGTTTTATTGCACAATTGAATCTACAATTGTAAAGTGTTTGAGGTCATTTCTTAAACCACTGCACAATACACGTACATATATTTAGAAAACTTACAAAAATGTTCTTTAAAAATTTGTTCTTTAATAGGACTTATTGTATTTTACTGGCCAAGCATAAAAAAAAATACTCCAAATGCACCGTTCTCTAATTTTCCTCTTCCAATCTTATTGACATTTGTTTATTTATAGCTAATCTGTATATGCATAGAACTGAGGACATTATTTTACTGCAACAGCCTTTTTAAAGATGTTACAAAATTTTAGAAGTATATTTTGTATCAATATTTATATCAGAAATTAATTACAATTAATATTTGTAAACATTAACAAACACTCCCTCTCCAAACCTCTAGCTGCTGTTTGCTCACCATTTTCAAAAATTTATTATTTTTGAGAGAGAGGAAAGAGAGAGAGAGCAGGTTAGTGAGGAAGAGACAGAGAGAGGAGAGAGAGGATCTAAAATGGTCTCTGTGCTGACAGCAGAAAGCCCTATGTGAGGCTTGAACCCATGAACCATGAGATCATGATCTGGGCTGAAGCTGGAGGCTTGACCAACTTAGCCACCCGGACGTCCCTGCTCACCATTTTTTAAGGTGAAGGCTCCCATTTCTCCTTGAAGCATTTATGCAATGCTAAGTGGGCTCAAATGGTCTCACGACCACCTTAAGCAAGTATTTTTTTCTTTGGGGTATAAATCTGGGTGTTTCCTGAGCACCCACTCAGAGGCTTACTTCCAGGCAGGAGTTCTCATATCATACTTGAGAATGACTTAGGATTTCCAGATTTGCAAGCAGATCTGACTTCAAACTTTTATGTATACCACTTTATTATTTTTTAATGTTTTATTTATTTCTGAGAGAGAGAGAGACAGTGTAAGCAGCGGAGGGGCAGAGAGGGAGACACAGAATTCGAAGCAGGCTCCAGGCTCTGAGCTGTCAGCACAGAGCCAGACTTGGGGCTTGAACCCACGAACTGTAAGATCATGACCTGAGCTGAAGTCGGATGCCCAACGACTGAGCCACTCAGGTGCCCCTTATGTATACCACTTTTAAAAATCAATCCTTGTCTCCCCTCTGGGTTTTCCATAACTGGGGTGGGGGATAAGAAAGGACAGAGAGAGAGTAAGAGTAAATAGTGTGATTAGGGTAAATACACTGCTGGCAACTTGCTGGGGAGAACAGGTACAAGTTTAGAATTACATCTTATCTTAGAAGGTTCTCTTCTTATACCTTCACATTTGAAAGAAGAGAGGAAAGAGCACAGAGGCAGAATTGATGGAATCTCATAAAATTATTAACAGCTAATACCATGTGTCAGACACTCTGCTGCTACTCCTTAGCAAATATCTCTAACAGATCTAAAAGCCCTTTTGCTCTTTTCCTTCTATAATGAAATATATCCTGGGTGTCCTGTTCTTCCTTTCTCTTTCTCCCTGCCCCTGGACTATTTTTTGCAGGCTCTGGCCTTTCCCATCATATGCTGCACCCTTTGTTCCCTGGCTCGTTAAAGGCACCTGGGTGGTACAGGAGAGAATGCTGCCCTCTGTTTAGTCCATGAAACTTAATATTAACAACAGGATCTAAAAAGGGAAAAGTTAGAGATCTGAAATAAAGCAGAGACTTGTCATCCAGGAGTTTGATGCCGTAGACAGTTATGAACAGAGAAGACCATCAAGTACCACTCTGAACAGCAACTGGATGTAGTTGAAAGAGTGCTGGACTTGAGGTCAGAAGACCTGGGTGCAGGTCTTAGATCTGTCACCTTTAGCTGTATGGCTTTGAACAAGTCAGCTCTTTTTGAGCTTCAGTTTCTTGTTTGCCAAATGGGAAAAAAAACAAAAACAAAAAACACCTGCTTTGCCTACCAAAGAAAGTTATAGGCATCAAATAAGATTATGTGCTTAAAATTCCTTTGAAATGATAAAGTTCTATGTAAACATAAGTTGTTTGGTGGATTAAAATGGATATAAAGGAGAAAAATTTCTATGGTTTAAAATTGTTAATAAAATTTTATTAAAATTTGCATATGTAAACTAAAGATGATCGACTTTCCCCTCAAAGGGCTCGTTTTCAGTTTTTCCTGTGTATTCAGTGACTTGCTGATCCTGAGTGATGATGTCAGTGTCTTCATTTACAAGTCTCCAAGCTCAGCTTCTAGGGGCCAGCAAAGATGGTCTGTGCCATCACCAAGCCAGTTCCTAAAATGCAGACTTCAATCTCACTTGAAAAAAACAATGCAGTTCCACACATTACTGGCAAGAGGAATTTTTGGCTACTGGTATAAAAGAATGATCACTGCCAAAAAGGAAAGAAATATTAGAGAAAAGCTTCCACGACAATGACTTCCTGCAGAAAACTTGATCCGACCTTCAACTGCTGGATAAATTACTTTCATTTTTAAGATATATCCAGAAACCACGTTGATATCTTGGTCACCTAGAAAAAGATACACATTATTTTAATTACAGAATAAGTAATTACCAATTAAGAGTAGAAGGTGGGAAAACCAATGTATTTCTCTAAAGTCCTTTGTAATTATAAGAGGGAAGATATTAGTTTCATAAGCGAGGATAAAATGTTACAAAAGAAGAGTGGTGATTACAGGTGCAAAGAATGTGATTGCTGTTTCATGTTCCAGATGTGAAACGGTGCCTGCCCACTGTTGACTACTAGATAACTGGAGGGGATAGAGCCATCTCAGCTGTGAGATGACTCAAGAAAGATTGTTGACCTTTAGTATTGCTTTTGAACCACTCCAAAACAAGAGTGTTAGGGAACTGGTTGGCAACAATTAGTTGAGACATAAAAGTGGCTTCCTTCTGCTTGCCTGGTCAGAAATCATTCTTGTATATTTGACAGGGAGACAATGGAGACCATTTCCAAAAGAGAGGAGACCTGATAAAGAAATACAAATTGTCTATAACTACAACAAACCCACAGGGACCTGACAAAATTTTGTTGTAAAAATACCACTGAACAGATCATATATCTGAGAAGCAGTTAATACCCAAAATATATAAAGAACTCCTAGAACTCAAAAGCAAAACAAAAATAAAACACAAATCTGATTTAAAAAAATTGGCAAAGGATGTGAATAGACTTTTTTCCAATGAAGACCTACAGATGGCCAACGGATACATGAAGAGATACTGAACATCACTAATCATCTGGGAAATGCAAATCAAAACCACAGGGATATCCCTTCTTTGTTTAGACTGGCTATTATCAAAAAGACTAGAAATAACAAATGTTGGCAAGATGTGGAAAAAGGGAGCCCTTGTGCATTACTGGTCAGAATGTAAATTGATGTAATCATGATGGGAAACAGTATGGAGGTTCCTCAAAAAATCAAAAATAGAACTACTCGATGATCCAGCAATTCCACTTCTGAGTACTTGAAGAAAACACACTAATTCAAAAAGAAAAGTGTACCCCCATGTTCACTGCAGCATTATTTATAATAGCCAAAATAGGGAAAATACCTAAGTGTCCATGAGTGGATGAATGGATAAAGAAAATGTGGTGTGTGTGCGCGCGCGCACAGACACACACAATGGAATACTATTCAGCCATAAACAATGAAATCTTGCCTTTTGTGATAACATGGATGGACCTTGAGAGCATTGTGCTAAATGAAATCTATCAGAGAAACACAAATACCATTTCCTTTCACTCATATGTGGAATTAAACAACAGCAACGAAACCAAGCTTGCATGTAGAGAGAATAGACGGGCAGTTGCCAGAGGTGGGGGTAGGAGGGGGTGGACAAAATGGATTAAGGAGGTTACAAATCTAGACTTCCAGTCACAAATAAGTCCTACGGATGTAACGTGCTGGATGATGACTGGAGTCCATACTGTATTGCATATCTGAAAGTTGCTACAAGAGCAGATTTTAAAAGTCCCCATCACAAGAAAAAAAATTTTGTGACTATAATGTTAACGACACATTGTGATGATGATTTTGCAATACATACATATACTGAACCATGTACACCTGAAATTAGTAGAATGTGCTATATGTCAATTACACCAAAAAAAAAAAAAAAAAACAATAAAAATTAAAAAAAAAAAAAAAAAAAAAAAAAACACCTCCGGGCAGTGGTTCTCATCTCTGCATTAGAATCACCGGAAGACTCTTTCCCTCAACACAATTATATTGGAATCTCCTAAAAGTTGGGGCCAAAGTATTGGTATTTAAAATGGTCCCCAACTAAGTCTGCCCTCAGGACCAAGGCTTCCTCAGCCTTCTATGTGAGCTCCTCTCCAAAACTTAAATCAGTCTGTGCTTAATCAGTTGGCACAGCCCCCAGCCTCTGTCTCAAGTGGGACTAAAGAGGATACTTCTGTAAGCCTGCACTTTCATTGTCTCTCACTGAATGGACAGAAGTAGCTAGCATCTTTCCTAGCAGGAAGGGCTGCCTCTTTTGCCCTGGCTCTGCTCTCCACTCTCCTTGAAACAAGAGGCTAAAACAGCAGGCCCACCACAGGAAAGCTGAGGAGGAACTAGTAGCGCTGCCTTCTGGAAATGCAGAGAAGCTGTGCAAGTGCTTTGTAAGTACACCGTCTTCTGCCCTAGGGAAGAGGAAAGGTTAGTATATTCTATCAGTGGATTTCATGCATGTGGTGGTGGTGGTGGGGACAGGGGTGGTTGTTTTTTTAATGACCCTGTGCTGGTCGCATCCTCTGGGCCTCTGTGGGACTCAAATCTACCATCAGCGGACTTCCACATGAAGTGGTTCGTAGAACTGATTTTTAAAAGTGAGGTTGGGGTATAATGACCGTAAATGCTGCCAAAAATATTGACTTAGGTCAAGTGTGGTTGTTCCTTTCATTTGCTCCATCAACCCAATGTGCTGAAAAGGGAGAGGGGAGCACATCCCATCTACTTATCTGACCTATTTACACTAAAAGCTTCAAGAAAGTTTATAGGGTTTTCCAGATCCAATCTAAAGTTGTAGAGATTAGGCTTTTTGTTAAGTGCAAAAGTCACTGATATTTCCCAATTTAAGTAGCTGTTTATATATACTTAAAAGAGTTTTAAAACATTTTAGGCTTGGATGGGTGGCTCTGTGTGCTGAGGAGGGGCAGGGCACATATTTTCCAATGCAGTGCTATTTTCCAACAAAGAAAGCAGGAGGGAGTCAGCAACACAGGGGCACGACCTGGTTTCTGGCTCTGCGGTCCTAGCATCCTGCATAGCTCCCCTCTTTGGACCAGTTTTGTTGTTCTCGAGTACTTCATTGTAGGGAGAGGAAGAGATACTTGTGCTTACCAGAGTCATGTCTTAATGTTTCATCTTTTATCATCTGGAATCCATCTCCACCACTGGCAAGGAAGCTTGGGAGGATAACCTTATATATCTCATCCATTCTGAGAGGCTCATAACTGGGCACTCGACACTGGGTGCAAAGAACATCTAATTTGACCACTCTGTCCCCAGGTTTTCGGGAAAGATCATACACCACATGAATTCCTAGAAAAGAAATGAGTCTGTATGCTTCCACTGGATCCAGAGGGAAATTTGTTTTCTAACAAAGAGATATGGCCAAAATCTGGAGTTGGGGCACTGGGCTTGGTTTTCACTGAGTTTGAGCCTGAGGGAAATTTCAGCAAGAGAGTTGAAGTGCATTTGGTTAGACTGCATTTGCATTTGGTTAGATTGTGTTTGCATTTCTTGGTTAGGTTTATCCTTGAGTCCTCAGAGGTCTGAGAACCACTGGGAGGAAAACTGGCTCTGGCTCAGAATGGGGAAGGGGTAATGGTGCAGGGAGAAACCACATCTTTTTAAAAAAATTTTTTTTTAATGTTTTATTTATTTCTAAGAGAGAGAGAGAGAGAGAGAGAGACAGCGTGAGCAGGGGAGGGTCAGAGGGAGAGGGAGTGACAGACTCTGAAACAGGCTCCAGGCTCTGAGCTGGCAGTCAGCACAGAGCCCAACACGGGGCTCGAACCCACAAACCGTGAGATCATGACCTAAGCGAAGTCAGATGCCCAACCGACTAAGCCACCCAGGCGCCCCAGAAACCACATCTTTTTAATATCCTAAATGAATTGGTCAGCAAATTGGTTCAATGGCTTTGGAAAATGAGAAACAGATGAGAGGTGCAGAACATTTGTTCTAATTTTGAAGACAACGAAATGATGATAATTTGGGGTTGGATGACTTCACAAAACATGTAACTACCCAGCATTGTGACAGAGCACCAAAACCCTGCTGTCCCCCCAACTCTCTCCTGGAAAAATGCAGAATGTTTGGGTTACCCCAAGGCAGCAGGCTGGGGCTCCGCCACCATCTGCAGCTCCCCCCTCAATCCAAGAGTTGGGGGTTCTGTAGAAGGAGGACTTGATAAAGTAATCACACCATCAAGTGAGGCCCATCATCCACAGTATCAAAAAGGGGGGGAGCAAAATATGGTGTCAGAGTCAAAGTTATTAATTTAATGATTGATTCATTGGACTATGGAAATCATTATTGACAAAAGTGTTTCAGAAGTCCTTGGCAATTTGGGAAGCATTTATTTTCATTCAGTTTTCACGCTGATCCAGGAGATGAGCAGGGCAGATTTTCTCAAAACATTCAGAGAGGTTGAAGACCTGTCTCAGGTCACAGTGGAACTAGCACGAGGGGTTCTGATGGGTCTTGTAGCTGGCCGCCACTCCCAGAAATCATCCTTGCTAATACTGACTGGACATTGAATTCCTTTGCACCTCGGCATGGTACCAGGCAATTACGAATAGAACAGTGAAAGATGGTTTTGGTTTTGTTTTCTAACAAAGAATACTGAGTGTTTAAACAACTAAGATTTTAATAGAAACTAGACCTCAAGGCAGCTGACCTGCTTAGAATCTGGAGGGCCAGCTCCTATAGTGGGTCTTTCTGACATCCAAATCAGACGTTGAAAATACTGCTCAGTGCCAGGGCACTGGGGTTTTGACCCTGACCTAATCTCAGTGGTCTGGTACCCACGACCATTGAGAGACTATGCACTTGTGTTGGGTGGGGGGAAAACCTAAACAAATCTGGCAATGGAAGTCCTGGTGAGTGGGGACCTAAGCCAACCATCAGGAAAAACCCACCTCACTTCAGAGGGTGACTTACCGCCCACCTGTAGGAATTCTCCAGTAGACTGGCCGTAGCGGTATACACTGTGCTCAAAGGCCTTCTTCAGGGTGGAGCCTTTTAATTGGACCAGGTCAAAGGTTCCTCCGAAGGGCAATACAGCAGCCAGGTTCTCCCAGGTAATTGTGCCTGACGGTAGTTGTAGATGAGACAGGAAGGAAACGAGCTTGAGGATAAGCTTACCCCAAGACCAGCTTCCTTTAGGGTTGGTGGAGATGAGGGAGAGAAGAGGCTATGGGAAGGCTATTAGGACAGCATCAGCTGTGTGAGTGGTCCTGACATTCAGGGAAGGAATGGATTCAAGAGGCTTCTGGCCATGTTCTCTACCACTGGGCAAGATGGTAGGTGCTCATAAATGGCTGTGGCTCCAAAGTCACCAGTGCTCTGCCCTGGATCTCTGGCTTATGGCTGGATCTTCACTGGGTGTTAAGCATTGCTCAGTTCCTCCAGACAGGCAGTGTCTCCCTGCCACCTGACCCTGTTTGACAGTGAGATGAGCTTGGGGCTTTACACTGAGACTACCTGGTTAAACAGCATATCAGGGAAGACTGCAAGAGTGTCTTGAATATCTGACTAGTTGGTTTGTTTTACCATCCAAGATCCAGGATATTTGTAAATGCACTAAAAGAATTTAATCCAGCAGGGTGTTTTTTTCTAGCACAAAACATGGGCAATTTGTCCCTTTCTCTTTTCAGGTATCAAGGAGGAGGCTGTTGGTAATCGGCAATAATTAGTATTTGGTTTTGTGTGTCAGAAGTTTAGCTGACCACCCTAGCTCCCCACTCTGTGTGAATACATATGAGAATACACAAGCATGTGTGCCCTTCTGCTTAGGCACTGACTTGAGTAGCAGCTAACTGAAACTGAAGAGACAGACACTGTGGTACATGGCTGACAGGAGAGATGAGCTGAGGCCACCCAGAGGCATGGTCAGAGAGAGACACCGAGCTGACACCCCAAGCCTGGGAAGCATACCGTTATTCCGCTCGTCAATGGGTGACCGAATGCCACCTCCATTTAGAATGCACATGGACACATGGTTCCAGGACACCCCATCCGAGTGTCTAATGTTGTTGTTAATCTGCAATGGTAGCATGAATTTACATTAGTTATTCTAGACCTTCTTCCTTAGGATCAGTTTTAGGGATAGAGTTAGCTCTACCGTGGAAATAAAGCTGCTTCATCCTTGCTCCTGTGTTCCCAGAGATTTTCTCAAGTATAATCAGTCAGAACTAGTTTTATGCTCTGAGAAGCAAAAATAAGAAACAGTGACCAATCCCATGTCAGACTCTTAGAAGCAAGTAGCCCTGAACCCCCTTTCCTAAGACCCTTCTACTCTCAGGCTAGTGGGCGTTAGCAAAACTGGCTCTTCTGTCAGACAGGGTCTCCATGCAAACTGGCCCACCATGCCTCTCCTCCCCCTCCATCCCCTCCAGGCTCCACACTTGCTCCTGAAGGCGCAACCTGAAAACCTTCCATTCCAGACCTCAGGCCAACAAGATAGATTCCTGGCCTCCATGTCAAATTCCCAAGTTGGCAATTTCGGAGGCACAAAGATGGCCTCCTGAAATGGGAGAATCCGTTTCCTTCTTTTTTTTTTTTACAAAATATGTATTTAGTTACAAGAAATAAAATGAATATATTCTCATTTGACAAAAAAATGGTGCAAAAGCATAAGTTTTCTTAACACTCGCCTCTGCCTCTTAAAAGAGAGGTAAACACTGCTAACGGCTTGTTTCCTTTCAGACCTTTCTCTAAACATTCCTTTCCATACTGGCTACTCTTTAACTACTTGTTTTTTCCCCCCAAAATAGAATTATTCTTTAATATTATGATTTTTTAAAATATAATTTATGGTCAAATTGTCTAACATATAGTATGTAAAGTGTGGTTCACACTTGGTTTTTGGGGTAGATTCCCGTGGTTCAATGTTTATATAAAACACCCAGTGCTCATCTCAACAAGTGCTCTCCTCAATGTCCATCACCCATTTTCCTCTCTCCCCCACCCTCCCATCAACCCTCAGATTGTTCTCTGTATTTAAGAGTCTCTTATGGTGTGCCTTCCTCCCTCCCTGTTTGTAACTTTTTTTCCCCCCTTTCTCTTCCCCCATGGTCTTCTATTAAGTTTCTCAAGATCCACATATGAGTGAAAACATATGATATCTGTCCCTCTCTGACTTATTTCACTCAGCATAATACCTTTCAGTTCCATGCAATTTGCTGCAAATGGCATGATTTCATTCTTTCTCATTGCCGATAGTATTCCACTGTATATATAAACCACATTTTCTTTATCCATTCATCAGTTGATGGATATTTAGGTTCTTTTCATAATTTGGCTGTTGTTGAAAGCATGGCTATAAACATTGGAGTACATGTGCCCCTATAAATCAGCACTCCTGGATCCTTTGGATAAATTCTTAGCAGGGTCATAGGGTAGTTCTATTTTTAATTTTTTGAGGAACCTCCACACTGTTTTCCAGAGTGGCTGCACCAGTTTGCATTGTCATCAGTAGTGCAAGAGGGTTCCCTTTTCTCCATATCCTTGCCAGCATCTGTTGTTTCCCAAGTTGTTAATAGCCACTCTGACTGGTATGAGGTGGTATCTCAGTGTGTTTCGATTTGTATTTCCCTGAGGATGAGTGACATTGAACATCTTTTCATGTGTCTGTTGGCCATCTGGTTGTCTTCTTTGGAAAAGTGTCTTTTCATGTCTTCTGCCCATTTCTTCACTGGATTGTTTTCTGGGTGTGGAGTTTGGTAAGTTCTTTATAGATTTTGGATACCAGCCATGTATCCGATATGTCACTTGCACATATCTTTTCCCAGTCTGTCAGTTGCCTTTTAGTTTTGTTGATTATTTCCTTTGCAGTGCTGAAGCTTTTTATCTTAATGAGGTCCCAACAGTTCATTTTTGCTTTTAATTCCCTTGCCTTTGGAGATGTGTCGAGCAAGAAATTGCTGTGGCCGAGGTCAAAGAGATTGTTGCCTGCTTTCTCCTCTATGGTTTTGATGGTTTCCTGTCTCACATTTAGGTCTTTCATCCATTTTGTGTTTATTTTTGTGTATGGTGTAAGAAAGTGGTCTAGTTTCATTCTTCTACATGTTGTTGCCCAGTTTTCCCAGCACCATTTGCTAAAGAGACCATCTGTTTTCTAGTGGATACTCTTCCCTGCTTTGTCAGATTAGTTTTCCATACATTTGTGGGTCCAATTCTGGGTCCTCTATTCTATTCCATTGGTCAATGTGTCTCTTTTGGTGCCAATACCATACTGTTTTGATGCTTACAGCTTTGTAGTAGAAGCTAAAGTCTGGGATTGTCATGCCTCCCATTTTGGTTTTCTTCTCCAATATTACCTTGGCTATTCGGAGTCTTTTGTGGTTCCATACAAATTTTAAGATTGTTTGTTCCAGCTTTGAGAAGAATGCTGGCGTAATTTTGATTGGGATTGCATTGAATGTGTAGATTACTTTGGGTAATATTGACATTTTAACAATATTTATTATTCCAATCCATGAGCATGGAATGTTTTTCCATTTCTTTGTGTCTTCTTCAATTTCCTTCATAAGTTTTCAACATACAGATCTTTTATATCTTTGGTTAGGTTTATTCCTAGGTATTTTACGGTTCTTGGTGCAATTAAGAATGGGTAAGTTCCTTTATTTCTCTTTCTGTTGCTTCATTATTAGTGTATAGAAATGCAACCAATTTCTGTACATTGATTTTGTACCCTGCGACTTTGCTGAATTCATGTATCAGTTCTAGCAGTCTTTTGGTGGAGTCTTTTGGGTTTTCCATGTAGACTATAACGTCATCTGCAAAAAGTGTCTAGCTACTTCTTTTGTGTGACTGCATAATGCTGAAGAGCCAGCACTGGTCTCACCTTGGCAAGTGTGAACACTGTCATTTACTTGGCAGTCAGTTACGGAAAGTATATATGTCACGCTCCAGGCTCCAGGTATCAGGCACGGTGCCAAGCACAGACAAAGAATCAGCCCCCTGGGTCCAGGCTTTGGTGAGAGGGCTAAGTCTTGCCTGGGGACCCTGGTTAGGCATGGGCCCCAAGGGGCTCTCAACAGCCAGTCTGCCTTGCCGACAGGTAGACAGTGGGGTGTGTTCTTGGGCGATCCGTTCAGCCATGGGACATATTATAACTCCATGTCATCATTCTCTGCTTGTGAAGGAGGCTTCCAGTCACACAAGGCCTTGTCCTCTGTATTCAAGGGGGCAGATCAGTGAGACACACTGGCCAATTTAGGCCCAAACAAATGTGTTTTATGTACTATGTCTGTATCTTCAGAGTAGTGAAGTTTCATGTATTCAGATCATCTTACAAAAGGAAAGCAATATCTAAAATTCAAACATCCAATGTGAATACCTATCAATAAAGCTTTCAGTTCTTGTAAAGCAATAAAGTGATGGTCAACTGGTCTAGTTCAGGCCCCTTCCCAAGGTATTCAGTATGAATCCACCCCAAGCTTTTGTTTGGGCGTCAATTTTTAAAGACCTTCATTTTGTAACAGGCTGTCCCTCCTTGCGTCCGTCCTCCCTCCCCTCTCCCTTTAGGCACAGGCCCTGCACGCCTGGGGACCACTCACCATGGCATCACAAATCAGGTTGCCCATGTTGCATTCCTTAAAGCGGCATGACTGAGTGGAGCCATCCAGATAGACAACTGTTTTCCCTAATTCCTGAGTAGAATAATTATCTAATTTTATCCTCCATTTGTTAATGTCTGCTTTTATGTTTGGATCTAGAAAAAAGCAAAACAAAAGAAAACAGAAAAAAAAAAAAAACCCATCAGCTTGCTGTTAAGGCAGGTCTCACCCTGGCCTAAATTTTGGAGAAGGAATCAAAGATCATTTAACTTACCTGTTGTGACTGTACATTTCTTTAGCCTATTTGTCTACACTTTAGTTTTGGCTGTACAATTTCCTCAGAAAAATTATGTTCCTTGGTAATAAGACTAGGAATGGATCTGAATTTAAAGAGGCACTGAGTATCCTAATATCAACTCATCACACCTGAAATAAGCACCTGTGGGACCCTCTGGGATTGCATTAATGATGGGGGGAAGGGAAGAGTGAGGGTGATGAAAGGTCCCCAGGACAGGTCTATAGGGCATGCTGAGGTTCTGCTGTGTGGTACTGGCCTCTCCCTCTGGTTATTGAGACGGTCTGTGTTGTGACCACAGGCTCTGCAGGGCACCCTGCTGTCCATCTCTCCCTGGTACAATCTTGGTGAGCAGTAAAAGGCAAGTGAGAGAGGCCCAAGGCTGTGGTCACGTACACTACATGTAAACAGATGACATAAGATGTATTTTATTCTGAGTCCTAGACAAAAAAGTAAAAAAGACACTCCCTCATCTGATAAAGAAACAGAAGCTCACTGAGACTGGGCAACTGCTGTGGGCACACTTGTTGGGAGCTGTTTCTGAACTCATAAGTGGAGAATATCTCCTTGTGAGGTTAAGGTAAGTTGCACAGACTCTTACCATCAGATGGTGACTGATATCCACCCCCAACCAACTGTTTCTGCTTAAGTACTGACCCCCCACAGCATCTTGTTGATTGGTATTTGGAGTGACTTATTCTGGCCTTGATATGCTGATTGCACCTCGTGAAGGAACCTATTGTAGGAACTTCTTTTGTGATTATGGGAGCAAACATTGTGTTTCCTGAAAAACCTGTTTTTCTTAATACTTCCCCTTAAGCAAACAGGCTGTTGACCCCTACTCACAAAGAACTAACTTTTGCCTTTACTATGCTAATGCCACCTCTGGGCTGTTCCTCATACCTTGTGCATATCAATGTTCTGAAAGTTTTTACTGATAAAAGAATTTATCATTAAAATGCCACTTCTGTGCCTTCCCCCAAACACTAAATCATAAAATAAAGTTGAGTCTCAGACAGTGCGGAGAGGCCTGGCTGGTGACCAGAAAGAATCTCATGCCTCTCTCATCCCTCCCTCGCCAACACTGTCCATCCTTCAGGGATCCCTGGACCTGGCTGGAGTGGGACTCTGGCACACGCTGCCAGTGGTGGGGCTTTGAACCCCTTTGCTTCTTTGAGCAGCTCTCCTCTGGACAGGAGCTGAGTGGCTTTCCCATGCCTGGACAAAGCTTGAAAAGACACAAGAAGCAGTGACACGGTATCTCATGCTGAGAGGAACTGGGGGAGCAAATAGGATTTGGGGCATTTGAGTGTGTTTTCAATCTTCTTATAGATGAAGAGGGCAAACTTAAGGGATAATTCAATTCTTTAAAGGTATTAATTACAGTCTTGCCCTGAAATAATAACAAGAACAAAGTCAAGCCATCATTCACCCACCTTCCACAATGCTGCTGTTGAGAAGAATAGGATTTCCATGCGAAGCGATGACATTTCCTTTTTCATCAAACTCAACCTTCAAATAGCCCAAGTATTTGCCAAACGCATAGGCCTGGACCACAGGAACCTTCCGCCCATCATCAGATGTGACTATGAATGGGTACTTTCCAGCCGGCACCTCTTTGGAAGGTGGAGTGCCTAAAATGGAAGAGCCAAAGCTGATCAAGTCAGTCCTTGTACACAGCTGGCTGTAGGCCAGCGGGCCACTGGCCAGATGACAGGGAATTCTGAACTGATGATGTGCTAGCTGCTGCCCTACACAGCTGGTCTTTCAGAGCTGCACTCAGGCATCTGCCCCTGTTTCAGAAGGCCCTTTTGGCACATGAATCCCTCCATTTCAACCAGGAAGTGTTTGGTAAGCTCTTCCCACGTCCATGGTCCCATGCCTGGTGCAGTGGGGGACACAAAAACGCGGTGCTGCCAAGATCATCCAACTTTTATCCTGACCCAGGCTCAATTCTCAGTAGCTGAGTAGAATACCCAAGCCACTTCACTTCCCTGTATTTCAGTTTCCTCACCTGTAAAATGGGCGAAATAACAATTCCTATTTCACAGGGCTGTCTAAACTTCCTAGCACAGTGCCTGGCACACAGATAATAAATGTATATTCCTTTCCCCTATGAGGTGACAACAATCTCTAGAAACCCTCGACAATAATCTAGAGCTTAGGATCCTTAATGGAACATGAGCAGAAATGACAGAGCCTGTCCTCAGGTTTTGCTGCTAAAATCTGAGCTCCTTTAGGTGCTTTTCAGAGGAGTCATGTTCACCCTGCCAGTCAAACCAGCATGCACACTACTCACCCAGCCAACATGGGTCGAGTTCTGCTGACTTCTGTCTCAAAGGGGTCCCCTGGGGACAGCCTGGGAGCCAACCCATCACTCAGAGCCTGAGGGGCTCCCCCCACAGCTGTCTCCTGGACAGATACCCTTGACTCATTACTGTTTCTACCCACTCCCAAAACACCCTGACCAATCCTTCTTATTAGAGGTTTACAGAGGGCCCAGGAAACTTCAGCATGTGTTGGTTACTCACATGGACAAGTTAGGAGAGCTGGCCCAGAGCCAGGCCCTGAGCTAGATCTCATTTAATTTTCTAAGCATTCCATGAGGCAGGTTCTATTACCATCTCCACATTACAGATGAGAACGTTTATTGTCATAGGCAATGTGCCCAAAGTCACACTGGTGCGTGTGTTATACGCAGTATGGGCTGGTATGTGAGGGAGAGCAGACTGAAAGCAGGGCTGTGAGGCACTGGAGCAGATTCTGTTCTCTCTACTGCCCCACACAGCCTATGCTTGCTTATCTCATAATGCCTGCAAGAGCCAGTTGCCAAAGGCCACTCGCTAAACCAAGTGCTGCACCTTTGCACCCCGAGCTGTATCTGGGCTTCTCCTTTAACCTAAGACAAGCTGGGGTATGTATATGTTATGAAAACCCCACTCCTTCTCTGCTCCTATAGAGCAGCCCCTGTTCCAGCTCAATACCAGAGAGCAGAAGTGCAGCAAACACCAGCACCTCAGAAGTACGAAACAGCTGTTGCCCACCTTAATTTCCCATTTTCTTGCTCCCTCTGGGAAAAAAAGAAAAAAGGCAAAAGTTTTGAAACTTTACTCTTAACAAAAGCACCTGACTAGAGGCCCTGTGCAGGACTTGTCCATCTCCATCTGCGGTGTACAGCTCCACGGATGACTGGCTGGTGTTGGCTCTAACAGGTACAGATGATCTCATGCATTGCAGAGAAGCCGGGAAGGCTAACACTGTCGTCATCCTCATTCTGCTCTGTTCTGGTTCCTATCTGGGCAAGCCCAGAGCCTGGAGCTGGGCGGGTGTGGTAGCCCCCGCTCACCGTCTCACCTGGGGAAGGTTAGGGACAGTAGTTCCTCCTCTGAGCCCAGAGATGCAACTGTGATTGGGAGGTGCAGTTCCTAACATGTCCACGAGATGGCGGAGAACACCTCGTCCAGGAGGAAAGGGCACTACATCAGTTTCAGAAAGGACTCTGGCAGTTTCCTGGAAACCCCAGAAAAGGGCAAGCCTGACTTTTTTTTTTTTTTTTTAGCCTTTCTTATTCTGCCTCACAAAGACATAATCAAACAAAATGAGTGTAACGGGATTTCGAGGATCCAGTCAAATGCCTCATCAAATAGGAGCTACTAACCACAGCTCCAGTCTGACAGGGGACATTCTCCGGTTCTGAAAGGCCTTGATGTTATTTTTGTTAGAACATAAGACATGTCATCTGCTTCTTAAAGGGACTTAATCAGGAACAAGAAGGATGCTTCCTGGTGGTTGAGGAAATAGCTGGTCCAGTTTGGCTAGTCTCTGCCTCCTCCACAGCCGAGTGCTCTCTGCTTCCCTAACTTGCCAACCCCAGAAAACCACTGGCAGAGAAGGCCATCCAGGGCTTCACATTTTCCATACCATTCTATTCAGCCAAAGATGCTCATGCCCAAAATATTATTTGCACACAGAGCCACATAACTGTCTTTAGAAACCCAATCTGTCATCTTGGCAGGAGAGAAATTATTCATCAGAACTCCATTCCAGCCATCTAGCAAGTAAATTATCTGGGAACCAAACATGAAGAAGCCAAGGAATTGTGGGCTGACCTATTTAGAGTTGGTAAGTGGGGCATTTCCTAACTGTGTGAATGTCTGACAGAACCCACTGGGTCTCTGTCCTGGGGGCCCTGGCCACAGCAGCTCCTCAGGAATGTGACAGTTTCAAGTAGAGGCCTGGGCAACTGCCCTGCCAGTAGGCAGAAGGGGCCAAGATGGTGGATCATGTGACAGAGCTGCTAGGGAGCAGGCCTGTGACATGGTTTTCAGTTGGCTAAATATATTATAGAATGTTTCAAGGCAGTCCTTGCTACAATTTTATTGTGTATGAGGACCAGTTTAAGAACTTTCATGCTTCCTATGTGGTACATATATGCAACACAATATTAGTCAGCCATAAAAAAGGATGAAATCTTGCCATTTGCAGCAACATGGAAGGATCTAGAGGGTATTGTGCTAAGCGAAATAAGTCAGACTGAGAAATACCACACGATTTCACTCATATGTGAAATCTAGAAAACAAAACAAATAAATTAACAAACAAAAAGCAAAATCGGACCTATAGAGAAAAAAACTGATGGTTGCCAGTGGGGAGGAGAGGAGGGGTTGGTCAAAACAGATGAAGGGAAGTGGGAGATACAGACTTCTGGTTATGACATGGATAAGTCACAGGAATAAAAGGCACAGCATAAGGAATATAATCAATGACATCATAATAGCCCCGTCAGGTGGCAGAGGGTAGCTACAAATTGTGGTGGGCATAGCATAATGTAAAGAGATGCTGAATCACTATGCTGTGCGCTGAAACTAACGTAATATTATGTGTTAAGCAGACTAAAAAAGAAAAACTTCCATACTTCCCATAAAAGGACTGGAGAAAAGTAATTAGTAATTAGCATATTTCACATCATTGCTTCTAATGGACTTGAGTCTCTTTTCTAACTTACTTGGAAGTGCTCAGTCTGTCTACTTCTCTACATCTCCTCAGGCAAGCCACACTCCTGGTCACCATTATCTTGTGCCTGGGTTATTGCAACGGCCTCCTAACTGGTCTGTATACTTCTTCTTTGCCTCTTTCTAATCCAATCTCCACACAGCAGCTTGAGTGAGGTTTCTAAAACATAAATAAGATCATGTACTCCCAGGTTTAAAATATCTCCTACTGTCGTAAGAAAAACAGGACGATTCTTGACAAGAATATCAAAACCTACATGACGTGGCCCTTTCTTGCCTTGCCAGCTTCATCTAGACTGTCCGCCCTGCGCGTCAGCAATCTTAGCTTCTCTCACTCCCAGGCCACTCCTGCCTCCAAAGCGGGACTGTGGAGTGCCACCCGGAGCCAGAGGCTTACGTGTGCATTTGTGACATCATTTTGCTTCAGTTTAGTCTTCTGTAAAATGGGGAAAATAACAATACCAGCCTCCAGGCTTGCTGGGTGGATAACAGAAGTTAATGCAGCCAGGGAAGCCGATGCAGGTAAATGTTCAACAAAGATGAGAGATCATTATTTACCAACTTAGCTCCTGGATGTCTTTCTGATCTCAGCCCAAACATCAGCTTTTCAGGAGAACACTGTGTGATGATCCACCAGTGCTGGTCACATCTGGAACTTCTCCCTTTGCAGCACACTTTGTAATTGTATATGATAGGATTGATTTGCTTGCATACTTAAAAAAAATCTGATCAGGGTCGATATCCCTTATAAGACAAGTTCCAAGAGAGAAGGGGCTGCTGTGTCTCCTGGGTTTGCCCAGCACATGGCAGGCACTCAATAAATGTTTGCTAAATGACTAAGCTTAAGTAGGTCAGCCAATGCTTTCCCACGGATTAGACATGACTTCTATGCTTTCCCTGTAGTGACACCCATATGCCAAGGGGGGCAGGGTCTGAGTACCTACCCCTTCTTCCAACTCCCCTCAATTCAATTTTCTCAACTAATGAGCTGAGTGGGGCTTGTAAAGCAGAACCAGGGCTGGGAGTTAAGACAATAGGTTTTGGTGCTGGCTCACTTTCAATGTGGTTTCATGACCTTGAGACAGACTTTCAGCTTAAATTGGGGGCCTAAACTTATTTCCTAAATTTGTAAAACAAGAGATTTGACTAGTGGTTTAAACCAAAAGTGGTTTAACTTTTTTTTTTTTTTTTTTAAAGCAATGAGATCTTCCCCACGCAGGAAATCTTGGGCCCATGGGAGCCACAAAGCAGACAGCTCCTAGTGCAGGCTGAGAGGCATGCTGGGCGAGTCCAGCTTCAGGCTCCCGGCCATGGGTGCTCTTTAGGGCATGGTTTGGAGACTACTGGCTGACATGCCCTTGGCACCCAGCCAGTCAGGCATGATGCTCTGTCCCCTGCCTCTGGTGTAGCTACACCAAGCAGCTTCAAGCATCTAAGACCAAGGGCTCTCTTCTGTTTTCCCAGCCAAGAGGTCTTTGGCAACCAGAGGGGTGAATCACAGTGTCCTCAGCTACCTCTGTCTCTGTATCCAGCCATGACACCATGACACACTAGCTGTCATGTTTCCTTAAGGGAACTCAGGGGGTCACATAATATTCTCCACATCTGGATGGTGCCCTCTGTTTTGTACATGCTTTGATTTACTGCTCAAATTCTCACTCTTGGACATTCAGTGATGACTGGGAGGTCTGAAAGAGATGATGAGTCATGGAGCAGTACCCAGAGTGGGCACAAAACCCTCATGAAATCCAGTCCAGGCTGTTGGCCTGTACCCAGTCCTGGCTGGTTGGAGCAAATAAGGGAGTCCTGTAGGGAAGGCATGATGTCACTATAAATTCATTCATTCATTCAACAAACATTTACCAAGCTACAACAGGTGCCCAGTGTTCTGGATTTCTACTGCCCTGTAGGGCCAGGCCCGATGTCTTTGCTTTATCTCCATGAGGTCAGGAGATACTGCTTGATGGAGACAGAGCAGGGGAAGGAGTGATGGCCCTGCTGGCTGCCATCTTCTTCTCTTAGGATCTATAGGATCTAGCCATCCCTATGGCCTTCTAGCCTTCCAGGTACCAGACTTCCCATTCACTATTTACATTATAGAACAGGGTTTTATATAACAAATTAAAAAGAAAATCATAACACTGTCTTATCACTATGGCCTGTTAAAATGCAGACTCCAAAGGAATGGGATGGGGAAAGAGAGACTGGTTCTCATCTTAACACGACCTTCTTGAATTTTCACTTACTCACAGTACAACTTTTGGGAATAATAACTATTTCTTGGTTTTAGTTCCTTTAGAGAAAACATGTGGGAATAGCTCTCTTTTCCTTGCAGCTTTCAGATTCTGTAAGCTTAGTCGGCCGCACCCCTTCGCTTCATTTCTGACGTGAAAGCGGTCAGGTAATCCTGGGGTCAGCTGTCAAATGCACAATGGCTGTACTCAAAAGAACCTGGAATGACGTTCAACATTGCAGGGGGAGGAGTTCATGCGCTTTTTTGGTCATGCCTCATTTAAAGCTGAGTTTTAAAAAATATGGGCTAGCTACAGTACAATGAAGTTAATTTGATAGGTGGTAACCAGCACTAAAAAAATTAAAAAACAGAAAATACTAGGTGCAATACAGATGCTTTGTGAAATTTTCTTTAAGGGGTGTGTGTGCGTGCATGCGCGTGTGTGTGTATGTTGGGTTCTGTGCAAGGCAAGATGCAAAATTCCAAGGGATGTATTATTTTAACTCTATTTTTATTTACTAATCATACTTAACCTTAAGTTATGCTAGTTCCAAAAACAATTCAGAAGAGTTTTTTTTAAGGCTGTGCAAATTTATTTAAACAAGCAAATATGCTTCATCCCCTCCTGTGTCCTGGAATTACCTTCAAGTGTTAAGTTTATCCCTCAAACTGAAGAGTATCAAACTTGAATATTTTCATGAGAACAAGTTTAATCTGGCTAAGCAATCACAAAATGTGAAATAAATGACTAAGACTACAGCGGCAGATTTTTCAGAGCCTGTAATTATATACTTAAAGATTTACGTATAAACAAATTATGATATTTATCCCCAAATCTTTCTTTCATCCAGTCATTCATCATTAACTAAACTCATCTACTTAGCAAAAGGTACGTATTGTTTTGCAGGACATCGTTGGCTGGAACGAAGTTACAGGGACGAAGACACGCTGCAGCATTAATGGGAAGCCAGGCATGATCACAGACCCTTTCAGGCCGATGGGGGCACACTCATTGATGGCCACACACCAAGGCTGTGGTTGACCAAATGGTGCTATAGGATGGTGTAACAGCAAATCATGAGGAACATGGGAATGACTTTAGCATCTGAAAGGGGGGTAGAGCCCTTTGATTGTTTATGCACTGTTTTAGTCATGCTTCATTTGAAGCTGAGTTTTTCAAAATATGGGCCAGCTACCATATGAGGAAATTAATTTAATGGGTGGTAACTGATACTTAAAAAAAATGGAACAGTAGTACAGAATATATCAGAGTACATTCCAGGTTCTCGGTGAAAGTTTGTGTGTGTGTGTGTGTGTGTATGTGTGCATGATTGTGAGTGTGCGTCAGGGTCATGTGCAATGCCTTTCTCAGTATGGGTCAAAGCCAGCACAGTTTGAAACCACTACTCCACAGGACGAAGTGGGTGGAGGCAGACGTCTAGGTCCAACTGTGTTTCTGACATTGCCTCAGAAAAAGGCTAAGAAAAGGCTCCAAAGGAGGGCTTTTCACAGATCTCATCCAGACAGTTGGGACATCACTGAAATAAGGACAGCTCAAGTACTAGGCCTTGTCCTGAGGGGCCTCAGCCACACCTGTCAGGTCAACCCTTCTATAACAGCATTGTTTCCAACCTCACTCTGCAGATGAGATCAGACAGGGGCCGGCTCCCACCACCAGTTGGCGGGACAGCCGGCAAAACACCAGAGTCTTCACTTCTACCCAGGGAGGCCCCATGACTTACTCCAATGGAATTTTCCCTGGTGTGGTGCTCTCAGCCCATCTAAGTGCCCTTGAGTTACTTACATGGCTCCCAGAGGTTTGACTGCAACGCTGCTCATGCCAAGAAACTCACATGACCACCAGTGCCCACCACTGTCCTTGTCACACTTACATCCTCTGGGGGCTGTCCTCACTGTCTCACATGCATATTTTTCCATGAAACAATATATGTTCTTATGAATAATGTTAAGTGCCTAACCTATTTTAGTCTAGTCTGTTAATTTGTTTTAATCCACTACATTTATATCACAACCACTAATAGCTGTAATCTAGTTTGAAATTTTTCCCTAGCCTGTGTCTACCAAGAGATAAAATACTTATGAAGGAACCAAATTAATAAGGAATTGATTACGTGGATACCAGCATTCTTTTCTTTTTCTTTTATTTTAGAGAGAGAGAGCAAGCAGGGGAGAGCACGCTGAGTGTGGAGCCCCACGTGGGGCTTAATCCCACGAACTGGGGATCAGGACCTAAGCCAAAATCAAGAGTCAACTGACCGAGCCACCCAGGCACCCCCAGCATTGTATGAAGTACTTCCCAAGTGTCACCATTTTGATTGGTATATTTTCACTGCGGGGCAGCCTCGGCACCACTGCACGCCAGAACACAGCTATTCACACTTCATAAAGTGTCTTCCCTTGAGTACATATACCATCTCACATCATTTTCACAACAATGTGGCACTTTGAGCATTATCTCCATTTCGAAACAAAGCTAACAGATACAGAGAGTGTGAGTGACCTGCTCCAGGTCTCTGACGTGAGTCAAGAAAGAAGACTTCTGACTCTATATTGTGTTTCTTTATTTCTTTTCACAATTTGTGTTTCTTTTTCTGATTGCAAAAGCAATATGCATTTGTTACTTGAAAATACTTGGAAGTGCTAAGAAGAAAGTAAAAATTACCATGTTTGCTCTTTTTAGTAACAACCCCTTTTAACATTTCTGGGTATTTTTTTTTGTACTGTTTAGGGTATTTTTTAGTTTTGCTCTTATAAAAACAGGATTACTTTAGAAAGCCCAGAAAGCCCACACAGAGACGGCCAATGCAGCAACCTCTTCAAGGAGAGGGTTGTGCCCCACCAAAGCCTACCTTCCCACGGCTGATAAAAGTCAGTTACCAGCCAAGCCCTCCTCCTCCTCTTCTTCCTATTCTTGAAAGTACCTCAACCCTCCAGGTAGTGGTGGTGGGCAGGGTGCATGGTATGAAAGACTCACTGAGCCAGACTCAAAAGTTTTGGGACATTATAGCTTCCAAATAGAAGGAAAAAAAGGGTTTTTCTAACTAAAACTATCTAACACTAAGGAGAAAGAGGGAGGGAGGTGGGGGGGAGGGCATGATTTCAAGAGCAACAGTGCCTATCGCTTCCAGGACGCTCAGAGTCCTAAGTCTTGGTACACAGTAGACTTAGGACTTGAGCCCAGAATTCCAGCTCCTGCTCATGAAGCTACGCATCAAATCCTGTCACCTTGATCTATGAAGGCCTTATTTATATTATTTTGTTTGCGCTTAAAATTTTTTATATGACACACTGCTTTTTGATATAAACTGACTTCTGGCTGGGGCTCCGTAATCTTTTTCTTTTACATGTATATTTTATTTTATTTTGTTTTTTAAAGTTTTTTAAATGCTTATTTAGTTTTTGAGAGAGGGAGAGAGAAACAGAGTGTGGGCAGGGGAGGGCAGAGAGAGAGGGAGACACAGGCTTGGAAGCAGACTCCAGGCTCTGAACTGTCAGCGCAGAGCCCAATGCGGGGCTCCAACCCACAAACCGTGAGATCATGACCTGAGTGGAAGTTGGATGCTTAACCAACTGAGCCACTCAAGTGCCCCTACATGTATATTTTATATACATATTTTGCATATAATATACATAAATAAATGGAATTGCCATAATCATTAAACCAATAAATGATTCTTAATAACGTCTCTGAATAAGATTTATATGTTACCATGTATGCATATTTTACATACATTACATATTATAAAAATATACACAATATATATTTTATGTTAAATTGTAGTAAAAATAATCACAGTTATACAGGCAGCGAGACACGGTAAGTCATCTAGGCATCCTGGCCAGTATCGTGCTTCTGAAACAATTACCTGTGTAAAGAAATGTGTTGGAGTGTCCTCCGACCACGAGGTCCACACCCTTCACTTTCTGAGCGATGAGTTTATCCATTTCAAAACCAGAGTGTCCCAGTGCAATAATTTTGTTCACATTTAGAGTTTTTAGTTTATCTACTTCAGGTTGCAGTGCAGCGATTTCATCTTCAAATACTAAATTCCTTCCTAAGGAACAAAATAAAATGCACATTTATTAATAGTTTTTTTATTATATTGCTTATTGCACATACTAACAAATGGAGTCAAATCACCTTAATCTACCAAAGCTCTTAAATTACTAAAACCAAACCATACTTATAAATCAAATATAAAATCCCTAAAACGCCAATAAAAATTCACATCAGTATCTTCAGTTCCATTCACTTAATGTTGCATTAGCTTAAGGTTGTGAATGATACCATGTTGTTCTAATTCAATTTCAAGGTATGAGGAGGCTTCAGATTTGGAAACCTATCTATTTTTTAAAAATCTGTTGTTGCCTGAGCATGTTGTGCGATACATGTCAAGTCAGTATGATGTTGACACACCCTAAATGCGTTAAGTGTTTTGTGTTGGTTATGTCTCAATAAAACTGAACATGGGGTGGGGGTGGGGGCCTAGATTAGTACCTCTAAGGCTTTGTTTTCTTTTTTTTTTAAAAGGCGATATTCAAATATCAGTATTATGTTTCTTGCAGAGAGCTGCTGAAAGCTAGTTTTGGGGTTTTCTTTTTGTTGTTGTTGTTGTTGTTTTTAAAATGAATTTATTCGGGGCGCCTGGGTGGCTCAGTCAGTTAAGCGTCCAACTTCGGCTCAGGTAATGATCTCACCATTTGTGGGTTCAAGCCCTGCGTCAGGTTCTGTGCTGACAGCTAGCTCAGAGCCTGGAGACTGCTCAGATTCTGTATTTCCCTCTCTCTCTGACCCTCCACTTCTCATGCTGTGTGTGTGTCTCTCTCTCAGAAATAAATAAAACATTAAAAGAAATAAATGAATTTATTCTATGGATAGGGAAAATACCTTTCTTAAAATCTAATACATGCTCTGTGGTACATAATTCAAGTGAAGACATTAGTAAGAACTCATGTTCAGCTAAATATATATGCACACACAGAAATCACTATAGAGATGTACATGTACATGTGTTAATATATACATACATATTTCCCAGCTCCGTTTGCTGGGAGGGTCCAGCAGCATTGACACGCCAGTAGCAACGAGCACATCCAGTACCCAAATACTGGTTTCTAAGTTCCACTAGAAACCATTCTCCAATAAAAGGGATTGATGCTCTTTGGAGAAGAAGCAGATTCTAGTGCCGGAAATATAAAAGATGAGCCCAGAGCAACTTTCCTACATTCTTGTAAGGCTTTGTTTTCAAGTTCAGGATAATCAGTCTTCAAACTTAAAACTCTGTCGGCAACTAGTCTATGAATGCCAATCTTAACTCACCAGTTGACAACCGTCTTGTTCATTTGGTAAGGTCAACACTAGAGCAGTACTGAGCTCTTCACTAGACAGAGGCTCAGCCAGGCACTGCTGGACATTCTTCTCCGGCCACTTACTCTTTCTTGTAGCAGTAATAGGAGCTTGCACCCAGGGAACAGGCTGGCGAGTATGGGTGTGACTGTGCTGACCCACACCCTGAAAATTAGCAACTCACATGTCACATTGGACTGGTAGTGCTGTCACTAACGCACAGGTGACATTTAAACATCGGGAGTTGTAACAGCTTTGCCACCATTCTCTGCCATGAAAACATCAAGAATAATCTGCTTCTTGTTGATCACCCCAAGAAATCCAGGGCTCCCTGGTCACTCCCCAGTGCCATGTCACTTTCTCTGTGAGTTCCCTGAGCCTCCCTTTAAATTGACAAGGTGTGTCCTCCCCCATGCCACACCTGCCATTCCCCTACTGCTTAGCACTTACCACCTCTGACACCAAATATCTTACACATTTATTTGCCATTTGCTCACTAAACCTGTAAACTCCAGTAGGCAGGGATTTTTTTTTTTTTTGGTCAGCAGCCCTGGTGCCTACACATAGGCACTCAGAAGAAAGACAGAAAGAAAGAATGAATGAATATTGAGACCTTCTGAGAACACTACCAACCTCTGCGTTAGTTTGGCTGTAGCTAGTTTTTGGACAAAGTTCAGACAAATGCCCCTGAGGACAAAGGAACGTATTCTCCTAACATATCAGGAGCCTCTGAGGATCAGTCATTACATATATAAAAAGCATGGGATATGTTTCAGGATATTTTTTTCTTTTTTTAATGTTTATTTATTATTGAGACAGAGAGAAACACAGCATGAACAGGGGAGGGGCAGAGAGAGAGGGAGACACAGAATCTGAAACAGGCTCCAGGCTCTGAGCTGGCTGTCAGCACAGAGCCCAATACGGGGCTCAAACTCATGAACCGTGAGACCATGACCTAAGCTAAAGTCAGACGCTCAACCAACTGAGCCACCCAGGTGCCTCTGTTTCAGGATACCTTGAGGTATCCTGTAGGAATTCTAGCTAGAATAAATTAAATGTGCTAGAAATACCAATTATACCTGTGGGCACCCAGGTGGGAGGACTGGAGGGATGGGGGTGGATCAGGGGCCAGAGGTCTGTAGGAATAACCCATGCACTGAGCCTGTGGTCTTGGTAGAAGCAACTGTCCCCAGAAATACTGTTCTACCCTCCAAGCCTCCCCCTATACCAGTGCTGAGATCAGTTCTCACACAATCCAACCTTTCTCTCCTGGGAGCTGCTATGACAGCATCATCCCTTCAGATCCCCTTTCTGTTCTGACCTGCTAAAGGGCTAATATGGGTGCTATCAGAATCCCAGCAAAGGGGGACTGATTTCTGGAGCCCTTGTGTCCCTCCACCAACAACCTCTCCTTTCTTATTGGCAACTATTCACGAAGGCATAACCTTTTCTTCCCATCATGCCTGAACTCCTTGATTAGTCATTCAGGACGCCCTGCAATCCAGTTCTCACTCAACTTTTTGCTTTCCCTGCTTGGAACCCATGTCCCAAGAAACTGAACTGTGTGCTCTTTTGTGATTGTGGCCCCCATACTTCTCTGCTCTCCTGTGTTCATTCCAGCAACATTTGTTGAGAACTTCCCACATGCTGGGTATGATACAAAACATAGAGCAGTGAATGAGGACAGATAAGGTCCCTGCCCTCATGAGGCTTGTGTCCTAGCATGTGACCTCGCTGCTAGGATGCCCTTCGCCCTAGGATGCTTTTGTGAGCCCTCGAGGGGGCCAAGGAGGTTCTTCAAGTCTACAGGACCTCCGAGCTGGTCACTTACCCCCTGCTCTGAAAAGATGCTGCCCCACTCCTGGACTTTGTTAACTCTCTTATGGCATTTAATTACATCCTGTTTTAAATGAACTAAAAATCAGTGAATAGAATAGAAATTATAGAGACATAATTATTCAATTATTCAGGTCCACATCTTTATCCAAGGATCCTACAATGGCCTCTCTACTAGGTTCTGGATGTTCAGGGAGAAGAGACCTCGGCTCTATCCTCAGCTGGTCAGGCCAGCACAGGAAGCTGACAGTAAGAGACAGGTGTAATAAGGAGGAGGGGTTTGCTGTGGGAGCTGGGGACCCAGAGCAGGAGCGTCCAACCTGACAGGAACCAGGATCAAGGGCAGCAGACACCGGGCCATGTCACCCCAGGCCCACTCTGGCAATTGCTCTGTTAGCGGTCATGTAGCCCCGTTCACTCTGCAATCCCCACACGGTCCTATCTGCAGAAAAGCCCTGGGGGGCCCAAAGCACAGCACCCCTTCAGCCCTGGGGGAGGTCAGATCACCAGACAGGGACGCAGCTGCCTGCCGTATGCAGAACGAGGGAGAGGGCTGTGGTCGGCTGGGTGGGGTGCAGAGCAGCCTGACACCGTCAGGTCCCCCGGGTGGGACCACACACTTCCTAGAAGAGCGCTTCTAAAACATGTTGAGAGCTGGTGACTCATCCTGTCCACAACTGCCCCCTGGCTCCACGATGACCTGAAAAACAGCTATTTATTGACTGTGTGTCACACAGTATGCATAGGATTAGTCACCTGTGGGACAGATGTCTGCCTGACACCTGGAATGCCTGACAGTCCCCACCTCCCCTACCGGCAGAGAGGAGAGAAGGCCTGCGCCTGCCCTGTCTCAGGAAGGCCGCACCACTCTCTCCCTCAGGGCAGAGCCCGCTGCCGGGGAGGGCAAGCAGGGCTGACCTTGTTGTTTCCAATGGCCTGGACCTACTGTAACAGCAACAATAAATATATCATTTTTTAAATTGTTAAAGGATAGTAAGTCCTTTATCAGTTAATTCTTAATGAAAACCCTTGTTCCTGGATAATACCAGCTCCTAGTTTTCCTTCTACTCTTTCTCTCTTTCTTTCTTTCTCTCTTCCCCCCTTCCTACCTTCCTTCCTTCCTTCTTTCTTTTTTATGCTACGTTCACCACAAAGTAGCTACCACCTGTCACCATGCAATGTTACTACAATACCACTAACTTCCCTATGCTGTACTGTTAGTTTCCCTTTTTTTCTTCAGATATGAGAAGAAAACTGTTTTGCATAATTTAGAAAAAATGTCATTTTAATTCTTACTGCCAAAGTGTTTTGGTGAAAGTGTTCCTGTAAAAGTGGCTCAAAAATGTTTCTTTTTTCAAAGTAACCATTTTTTAAAATTTATGTAGTTATCTTGAGAGAAAGAGAGAGAGTACATGAGCAGGGAGCGGAGAGGGAGAGAGGGAGAGGGAGAGGGGGAGAGAGGGAGGGGGGGGAGAGAGGGAGAGAGAGAGAGAGAGAGAGAATACCAAGCAGGCTCCATGCTGTCAGTGCAGAGGCTGATCGATGCAGGGCTCAAACTCATGAACCATAAGATCATAATCTGAGCGAAATCAAGAGTCGATGCTTAACTGACCAAGCCACCCATGTACCCTAAAAATGTTTCTTGAATGACTTTAGGATTATATATGTATGTATGTACATATGTAGATATGTATACATGATATATAGCATATATAAAATATTTGTATTAGAATATATATACCATGAGAATTTTCAAAGATACGTATTTCTCAAAAAGCTGGATACAACAGTCATTAAAAAATAGTGAAGAGGGAAAAAGGAGAGGTAACTAGACATAATAATCATACTAGAAAAGGAAGGTAAGGTACATTGAGGTAATGCCCTTAGCTCTGGGCTCTCTGGCTCTGCAGGAAACAGGGCAGTGAATTATATGGCTTTCATTCTCTAGTAAATAACTCTGTAATGTTTAGTACTGGATGTAAATGGCTTTCCTGTCCAATTCTGAATGCACTGAATTAAACAAAGATACTGTGTATGTCAACAAAGAAGTTCACTGAACAAAACAGCAATGTCTATAAGAAGCAATTTAGAACAGTGCGGAAGCCACCAGACTGGTTTTATTAATGTTAACCTAACATTTGCCCAACAAGGCATGCTGTTCCTACTTTTGTCTACAGCCCATACAAATAATGCCAAGCTCTGACTTAACACACCTATTTGCAAGCAACAAGTGCTATAAAAGTAGAAAATACCTGGATTGGAGAGATAAGGGGTTTCTTTTGAAGTATATCCAACAATTCCCACAACTTCATCACCAACATGAATAATTTTATATGGCAAATAAAGTCCTGATATTTGAGATGCTAGTGGCCCCTTGGCTTTAATATTTGCACTCAGAATTGGAAAACTGGCCCCTATGAGGAGTGGATCAATCAGTCCTTCTACACCATTATCAAATTCGTGATTTCCCAGTGCCTAGTAGAAAGGGAAAAGAGAACAAGAATTAGGTAGTCTGAAATTTCTGACAAAACCCAAAAACATACTGTAAAGAATATTACATTAGCCCAGGGGCTCTCAAAGCTGATGGGGCTCTAGGGGGCTGATGCATGACCTGTGTCATCCTCACACCAAGAGATTTTACTCCGTGACCCTGGTGTTGGGCTCATCAGGTTCATTTGAGAACTGCTTTCCCAGGTCCCGCAGCACCTACTGAAGGTGGTACCAGTGCTGTAAGAGTCACCTGCAATGCTGTCCCTGCTGTCCCCAGATCTGGGGCAAGGCGGAGAATCTGCCATTTCCTAAGCTCTGCCCAGCCTCTTCAGGTTGGTTTCTCTCATAAACCCACATTTCAACCCACCAGCACAAATGTTCCAACAGTCCTTCTGCTGGGAGAACCATTAAGGTCAACAGGACTTTTGCAAAAGGTGACTGGAGACTGGAGAGTGGTAGAGACACCAGTGATCTTTCCTCCTCCCGTGTCTGCATTTCCTCGGTTATTACTCCCTTCTGGCCCCACCACTGTGTCTTCCCAAGGGCTGTATGCTCCTCTCATTCTTTGGGGGAAATGAAGATCCCCAAGGGTAACGAGAGGCATTCTCCGCATTTTGCAGGGCGGGCACGGGTTTTCTCCTTCGGGCTGCTCGGGGCGCTGTGGTTTCATTCCCAGCAGCTTCGCGTCCCAGGAAGATCAGGATGGTGAAATGTTCACCGACCTTCAGGGCGTTGTTGACCCACTCAGAGCACAGGGCTTGGTGGGGCCTCGCCTCCCACCTTCTTTGCTCTCTCCCATTCCTCATGGCTCTGGGAGTGGCTACTGGGTGCAAAACAACCTCTTTGACATCTGGCAGCTTCCCCCAGAGTAAGACTGACAAAACGCTCATTCCAGCCACCTCCTCTGAAAGTGCCTCCCCCCTTTCTCCCTTGGCCTCCTAGAGTTAAGCCCATGGCACCTACCTCCCTGCACTGGCTGCAAGGCTGTTTTGCTAACTTAGTACTTAAACCAGTGAATCTCAAACTTTCCCAACGGTGCACCTGATTTTGCTTCATTTTGCAAATGGGAAATAGGCCTGGAAGTGCTGACTGATGACCTCTCAACCCAGATTAGGGCCTTCTGTATTCTCTTACAGGCTCCACTCCCTTCCTTCCTAGCACATTGCATAATCCTATGGCGAGTCCAGCATGTCCGCGGAGTGGCTTCCTGAGCCACCATGTCTTGCTGTCCTCACCTTGTTCGGCGCTGCAGCCCTTCCTCCAGCAACGCAGGTGCCCCTTTGAACATCTGTGGCTCAAAGAATTGTGTGTTTATGTCCTCACGCATATGTTTATACAGAAAAAGCAACACAATGTCTTCACGTTCCCACACACCTGTCTCCCTGATGAAAGTCAGAATTCTGAATTTGCCTCCTCCCCCACCTCTGAGTATCTATTTTTATTTCTTCCTCTTAAGTAATTACTTCTCTCTTAAAGGCTGAACTAATTTTTAAATTTTTTTTATTTTTATTTTTTATAATTTATTGTCAAGTTGGTTTACATATAACACCCAGTGCTCATCCCAACAAGTGCCCTCCTCCATGCCCATCACCCCCTTCCCTCTCCCCCACCTCCATCAGCCCTCAGTTTGTTCTCAGCATTCAAGAGTCTCTCATAGTTTGCCTCCTTCCCTCTCCCCCACTATTTCTCCCCTTCTCCTCCCACTTCGTCCTCCTTTAACTTCCTCCTAATCCTCCTATACGTGCAAACATATGGTATTTGTCCCTCTCTGCCTGACTTATTTCACTCAGCATAACACCCTCAAGGTCCATCCAAGTTGCTACACATGGCCAGATTTCCTTCTTTCTCATTGCCATGTAGTATTCCATTGTATAGATAAACCACATCTTCTTGATCCATTTGTCCGTTGATGGACACTTAGGCTCTTTCCATGTTTTGGCTATTGTTGAGGGTGCTGCTAGGAACATTGGGGTCCATGTGCCCCTATGCATCAGCACTCCTGTATCCCTTGGGTAAATTCCTAGCAGTGCTATTGCTGGGGCATAGGGGAGTTCTACTGTTAACTTTTTGAGGAATCTCCACACTGTTTTCCAGAGGGGCTGCACCAGTTTACACTCCCACCAACAGTGTAGGAGGGTGCCCGTTTCTCCACATCCTCGCCAGCATCTAGAGTCCTCGGATTTGCTCATTTTAAGGCTGAACCAGCTCTTAAAGGACCTCGCAGCCTTGGGTAATCATCTTTTATTTTCTCTTTATTATTATTATTTTTAATGTCTATTTATTTTTGAGAGAGAGACAGAGTACAAGCAGGGGAGGGGCAGAGAGAGACAGAGAGAGAGAGAAAGAGAATTTAAAGCAGTCTCTAGGCTCTGAGCTGTCAGCATAGAGTCCGACACAGGGCTCAAACCCATGAACCATCACAAGATCATGATCTGCACCAAAGTCAGATGCTTAACTGACTGAGCCACCAAGGTTTCCGCTTTTAATCTTCTCTTTAGAACACCATGATTTCTTCCTGTGGTGAAATCAGTCTCCCTTATGAGATTACAATTAACTATCTTGCTTAACTGTAAAGTCTTAAAAAGTGAATATTTCTATCATTCTTCATGGAAGATTATCCAATGTGTCAGCCACCTTGCAGTTTACCAACAGTATCATATTGCTACCATTTGGCAATAGCTGGAGTTACCTTTTTCATTTATTTGTTACTTGTGTGACGTCTCCTCCCCTGACTTGAGTGGGGACACTGACTGTCTTTTAACATCTCTGTGGGGAGAGGAGCCCAGATCTGGGTGCTCAGTGCTATGTGTGGACCAGCTCAATGACCTCATTCACATTCACATCTTCCACTCTGAAGTGAACATCTGCAGCCCTGACTTTCCCCCTGACCTTCAGCTCTCTATGTCCAACTGCCACATGGCCACTTCCCTCCAAGGACTCACAAGCACCCACCCATTTATTGTGTTTAAAGCCCCTTCCTCCAGGAGTCTACATGTTGATCCAAGCTGCCATCATCATCCTATCAATAAAGCCAGAAACCCCGGGGCAGCTGAATGCCCCCCACTCACTTGCTGTTCTACCCTCCCACCCCACCCCAGTATCCCACCTTTGCCTAAATGTTCCGGTTCCATTCATCCCCCTGCATGCAGTCCTCGCTGTTTCCCCCTGGACCACTGCAACAGCTCCCTCACTGGCTTTCAGCTGGAGCCATTCCCTTCTCTAAACCAGTCGACAAAGTTGCCAGAATAATCTTTCTAAAATGCAAAGCTTATCTCGTCAATCTTGACTTTAAGGTCCTACAGGGACCCTTCAATGCTCTTGTGATAAAACTCAACATTCCTGAGCTCTTTGAGTCATAAGGTTCTTTGAGATCTTGTCTTGTCTTTAAGACCTTATTTCTGACACCCACAACCCATTAAAGTGGGAGAAACCAGGCAGGGTTAGCACCACCAATCATGAGCTTTGACCTGAGCACACTTCTAAATCACAGCTTCCTCTGGAAGGCCAGTGAATAAATAAACCAAAGGTTGTAATGAAAACGAGTCAGCATTTACTAAGCACTTGGCACACACCAGCATTGTGCAAAATGATTTTGTTAAGAAAGGCTGGTTTTGTGCTGTGAGATTGGTATTATAACTATTATTATTTTACAGATGAGAAAAACTGAGATCTAGAGACATTTAATGAAGTGTTCAAGGTCACACAATTAGTGAGTGGTAGGGCTGGGATCAGAACCACTTACATTTGACTGCAACCTTCTTAACCTCTATGCTTATATATAAAGAGCTTTGCATAAGGCCTATTATATAGGGAGCACTCAAAATAAAATCCTAAGTACCTGCAGTTTTTCACACTCTGACTCATCTTTGTCCCTTTGTATTTAACAGATAAATGATTGGTTGATCTAAATATAGATAGGTAGATGAATAGAATAGAATAGAATAGAATAGAAGAATAGAATAGAAATTCCCTTTTTTATACTATGTCTTTACTACCTTATTCAATCAATGGCTTTATCTCCTGAAGTGTGATGATCCTTCTAGAAGAGATGCTTCCCGCAGACCCTTCATTGAGCTCCCTCTCTGAGTTAGATGCACTGTCTCTGCTCTACTGCTCACCTCTGTGCAGCTCCTGCGCCTGCGTATTCAGCCCCTCTAGCACCCAGCACAGTCCCTGGAGAAGAGCAAGGATGCACCACTGAATGAATACATGAATGAGCAGAAGACTCTCTAACAAATTTCTTCCCTCTACACAGCTAACTTCTTCTACAAAAATGTATTCCTTTGCAGAAAAGTGCCTTTATAGGTACTTATTTTCTTATAAACTCCTATTTTCATTTCCCCACCATGACTTTCTTCAACCCGTTTCTCCTCCACTGCATTCACTACAAGTTCATCATTCATAAGCTCCTCAGAAGGAAGATCATACCACTCATTTGAGTCTACCACGCTCCTGCAGGCAAACAGCAGGTGCTCAAGAAATATGTTAAATAAATTCATTTTTAAAGTTTTTATTCTAACTCCAGTTAGCTAACATACAATGTTATAGTACAATACAGAAATAAATTCTTATTCATTTCTATTATTTTTATTAACATGAAAATTCCTTAGGAAGAGTCTGCCCAAGAGCACCCAGAGCAATGAAAGAACATAACAGGGCAGGTCATCTTTCCATGTCCCTTTACATCTTACAGAGCAACTGTAACACACACATAAGAGAATTTATGCAAACTCATACTGCAGTATTATTCCACTTTTTTGGGTCTTAACTAAATATTCCCATACTTCTCCTTAAGTATGCTTGTCAATTTTTTTGCTGTTATGCTCACAGCCTCCCCCCTTGACTTTAATAACAGATCCTGATCGGAGGTAAACTGTTACTGGCTATTATGACTATAATCCTCACATCAGGCAAGTGCTTTTTATGACCTAAATCATATTATTATTTAAAAAATTTTTATGTTTATTTATTTTTGAGATAGAGAG